AAAATGTGAGACAGTACATCTAAACTTCACCAAATAATATATCACTAGTAATACAACTTTACGAGGAAAAATTGTTGTCTAACCATTTGATACACTGAGCACATATATTATTTGCCTATTAATGGTACACCATGTTAGATCACGTTCTTATCAACTTCTATACTAATTAATCCACATGGAAAATGGAATTTCTAATAGACAAAAGTTGTGTTTATACTAAGGCTCACAATATGGTACTGAACGACTCTTGAGATCTTGCGGAAATGGTTCTCAATTTATGTTCCCGATCTCACACAGACAGATAAAAGTAAAACTTCTTTGTTGCACCTAGAGTAGATCAAGATATAACAGCCTGCAAACAAGAAAAATAAAGCAAGAGGCAAGCACAAAACGAGGCATGCACAAATTTGACTGGGTTGGCAAAATTTGATTAGCAAGGCAAGAATATGAAGCTTCATTAGTCCATCATTGTAAAATAACCAAAAATATTCAATTCTACAAAATGAGGTAAAAACATTAACAAAAATGTCCAGTACCTTCTTGACCAGCATCCTCCACTTCAATTCAACATCAATGCAATTTGCAGTTTGAAACACATGGTACAATGCGTCTATAAACTGCTTGGAATGTTTGCCCGCCATTGCGAGAAACCTTTTGTCCTTCCTCAGTTGCAGAACTCAAAAGCTTCACAACAGGATCAGTTTCAAGTTCTTCCTTTGTAACAGCCTCAAATAAAGGGTGACTTTCCAAACAAGAGTTCATCCAAACGCCAAGCTCCTCCACATCTGTTATTGTGTATATAATCCCACCATCTCTAAGGACATATGCATACTCATCCAGCAAATGTAGGTTGATTACCCTTCGTCGATGATTCTTCTCTTTAAAATGAGGATCCGGGAAGAGGAAAAACATCTTGGTGAGCTGCCCTTTCTCAAAATAATTAGGAATGTACTTCATTGAATTAGTACGAACCACTGATATATTCTCGTACTGGCCTGGATTAGAGGCCCTCAAAGCTACAATCCTTTCCTTCACGTA